CACAAAGGAGCTGGCTGAAAACTGGATCCATGTCCCTAGAAATGTCTGATTCACCTTGAGAGCGTAAGAGATCCTTGGAAGGAGAGAACAAGGAAAAATGTATAAAGAAGTTTCTTTGTGGAAGTACTGCTCTGGCACCACCCCACCGAGGGGCTTCCACAGAACCACTCTGAGAGCTTGAACAATGTTCCCTGCAAATGGATGGCTCAAAGGACAAGGCCTGATCCTTGCCAGAGAAGGTGAAAGCAACTGGCAGGCTTGAGGTATAAGTGGCATTTGGCTTGACCTGTACACCTAGAGGACAAGAGACCGTGAGTGCCCCCTGCAGAGAGGCAGCACAGGAGAAAGTCTTTGTGGGGAGTCTTTGGTCCCACCAACAGGGCCACCTGGAGGGGCTGAGGGACCCCAACAACACAAAATGCTTTCCTGGAGTCAGGAGTAGCTTGTACCAGCTGGAGCAGAGGTACATTTGTTCATGTCATAGGAAATACAGAGAGAGAAATCTCCAAGAGCCCACGAAGATATCCAGAAAAGAAAGCCTGTGCATCAGCATTGAACATTCCCAGGTTCCAAGAGCACAAAGTCATCAGCAAGCAAACTTCCTGTCATCTCCTTCTCCACCCCCTTTCACCTGGACAGCAGGGACACTGAAACCTCAGCAAACTACATCCCTGACCCAATGCTGACAGCCTGAACTTGGGGAGAACAGGAAATTGGCCATGAGCTCAAATCCAGAGTTTTCACTTCTAGCTCAGGTGGGACATGCTACTTCTCAACTGAGATTCTATCTGCAGCCTAAAATGACCAAAGGATTGCCTGTTACTCAATTATAAGCAGAAAAATGTTACACAGCTCAGAGTCTACTCCAAGCAGTGAGGCTCACTCCTCGTTGCTCATTGGAATCACCAGGGACCTTGAAAACAAAAATTGCCAGAGCCCAACTCTCATCCCAGAGCCACTGAATCAGAGTTGCTAAAGCTAGGCCCCAGGAAGGTGTATTTAAAAACTGAATCAAATAAAATAGTGACAAAAAGTCCCCAGTTGATTCAAATGTGCAACAAGGGGCAGGAAGCTACTGTTCTGGGAGCCAGGGAAGAGCTTTCCTACTGAACTGATTTTAAAGATACGATGGAAAACAAAAGTAACACAAAACACCTGTATTTGATTGTCACAAGTTGTGCTCTTCAGTGAGCTAGAAAGAGAAACATTATGGTTTTCTAGATTTCGTTTTGAAGCTCAAAGTTTGCAGTTTATGCTTTAAACACAATCCCAAACTAACAGGAGCTAAGTTTAGTTTCTAAATGTGGGACCCAAAATGATCAATTTACTGTCTGGAGTCTGGGAAGGTCTTTTCTCTTTCTCAGTTACTAGCCAGGCTTCCAGGGATTAACAGATGGGGAAGGGCACTGGCTTGGTGTCTGGGGTCGGGCTGACATCTGAAGATCTGATAGCACCTGTCCTTCCACATTAGCTTGCTATGGGGGGAATTGGCAAAGTCTGCAAGGCCCCACAATCTCAAGAGACATTACATGGGGATCTCGGTTTGCTGGGCCGCTCTCTTTTAATGCCTGCCTCACATCGTCACACGTTGTGACTGGCACCCGCTTGGACTAGGCTGCCACTGACTTGGGGTCGAACTGCCCCATCCTTCCTCCAAGTGGAGAGCAGGGTGGCAGAGTGTTTGCCACCTCATCTAGTGTCTGCATCCCATGTGGGAGTAAGGGTTATGAGGACTCTCATTACATCCAATTGGTCCATCCTCTTCCATGCTCACTAATTTTTGTTTCAGAGACTTTTGGTTTATTTATAATTCAGTTTCTTTCAACAATCTTTATTCTCTGTTTTTGAAAATGAGTTCCTAAGCAAAATGATCATCCCATGGAAATCTCAGTTCTTTTTTTGAAAATTATTTTTTATGTTGTATTTTTGAGACAGGATCTGGCTCTTTCATCCAGGCTGGAGTGCAGTGGCGTGATCATGGCTCACTGCAACCTCTGCTTCCCAGACTCAAGCAATCCTCTCACCTCAGCTTCCCAACTAGCTGGGACTACAGGCACACACCACCACACTCAGCTAATTCTTATATTTTTTGTAGAAAAAAGATTTTGTCATATTTCCCAGGCTGGTCTCGAACTCCTGAGCTCAAGCTATCTGCCTGCCTCAGCTTCCCAAAATTCTGGGATTACAGTCAAGAGCCACTGCAACCAGGCAGAGATCTATTCTAAGCTGAATGAGGTGCACATACTCTAAGAGACACAAGAGCTGTCACGTTAATTCTGGCTCTGTATGGAAAATGCAACTAGCTTCACAGTGAGCCAAGCTGCCTGCTTCCTTGTAAGCCAGGAAACTTCTAATACAACAAATCAAAAAGGGAAGAGGGGATCTTACTAAAACAGCTGGGAGAAAGTAGCTGAAATTTCTTATCAAAAATATTTGTGAGAGCTAAACTTCTTCATCAATTACCATATAATAACAGTAGAAATGCTGATGGAATATAAAGCCAAACTTGACCTGCTATCCTTAGCTTGGAATACATTTTAGACTAGCAGGGGAATTTTTTTTCTATTTGTTTATTTTTCTCTAGTTTTAAAAGAGGTTAAGAAGCTCACACTAACATGCTCCTGCTGCACCCTGGAATTGGAAGCAATTCCAAGAAAGGTCATTATCTGTGTGCTATGGCTGTAAGTCTCATAAATACCCACAACAATTCTATCCCCAAGCCAAGTGGGGTCAATCTTTAATCGGTCACACTGGTTTATAGCCCACTAGGGTCCTTTATATACGCTATCACCCTAGGCCAAGTCTCCTTCATTTCCACTTTCATTTATTACTCCTTGATAGCTGACACTTGAGTAAATACTTAAAAGGAAAAAAAATGAGCTTATCTAAAAGCAGATATTAATATTTTAAAGACCTAACAAATTCATGAACAAGAAGATAGAAAGGAGGGGAAGAAATATCTTTATAATTTAGCTTAAGCTGCATTTTTAAATTAAGTAATTATTTCTATTAAAGGAAATGTTTGAGAAACATCAAATTATTCAATACCAGAAAACAATTATTCCCAGTACTTGGGGAGGCCAAGGCAGGTGGATAACCTGAGGTCGGGAGTTTGAGACCAGCTTGACCAACCTGGAAAACCCCATCTCTACTAAAAATACAAAATTAGCTAGGCATGGTGGCGCATGCCTGTAATCTCAGCTATATGGGGGTCTGAGGCAGGAGAATCACTTGAACCCAGGAGGCAGAGGTTTGGGTGAGCCAAGATTGTGCCATTGCACCCTAGCCTGGGCAACAAGAGCAAGACTCTGTCTCAAAAAGCAAAACAAAACAAAACAAACAAACTAAAAAAACAATGATGGGGGAGGTGATAAGTCTGTGAACTCTATCTTTGCAACTTTTCTACAGATCTAAACTTATTCAGAAGCAAAAAGTTTATGTAAAAACAAGCAAAAAGCTACTGTCCTAAATCAGTGTTTCTGGATTTAACTATGAAGCTGTTATTCCCTCAAATGAGACTTCCTGCACACTGCAAGCTAGAGATTTACTACAGCAACCGTAGCCAAGCAGCTAAACTCTCAATTGAGAGGAATATTTAATGGGAAAGACAACAACAGCCAGGGGTATCTTGGTATTGCTTCCAAACATTGCTTGTTTTATGTGCTCCTGAAGGGCTGCTGTTTATAAATCAAACATACAATCCAAATCACATTTTGAACATGCTAAGGAAGCTTGTGCATTTAAAAAGATGTCTAGTGAAGAGCAAAATAATAGGAACTTGTCATGTAATGAGAAGGAATGCATTCTTGTTTACTGTTTTGCAGAAATGGCTTTGCACAAATCACCTGTGCCAGTGGTGGGGCCCTGGGAGGCATACAGGTACATGCGGCTCAAGCAGCCCCTGCCTCACAGTCTCCAAGGTTTTATTTTCCCTTCCCTCTCCCAAGTCATCTTTGCATGACTTTGACTAACTCAGAGCTACACTGGTGAGAAACTCTATTCATGTACAGCTCCCAAAAACCAAACACAGGCCTTGGCCGCCACACTGGTAGCAAGCATTTGAGCAATGAGACTGAGCAGGTAAGAACACGCCACTGAATGGCAGCATTTGAAGCAGGTAAATGCAAGACACTAGTTCTGCTGTTCCTGAAGCTCACACTAACATGCTCCTGCTGCACCCAGAGTAAAACCCTGAAGCTAGCCATCCTTTCCCCCATCCAAGCCTTTGGTCAGAGAGGTGCTATTATCACTCCTAGGAAAACAGCTCACGAGCCAATGAAAGAATCACTCAGCTCAGTCAGCCCAGGTAAGCAAAACAGTCCAAGACACTAATTTCTCACCCATGGATGAGAAACCAGAATTCTCCCTTTTGAATTAGATAAGGGGCTAGAAAATAAATCTTAAATACATCACAACCCAACCAAACACAGTTCCTCTGCTTGTGGTTTTGCATGGGTTTTGCCATTGTGGGTACAAAAACTCATTAAACACTTGCAACAATTATGGTAATAATAATAATAGCCCTTTTATCATAAAATGCCCAAGCACCCTAGAGTAGTTATTAATACAGTGTATATCACATAACTGTTCAAAATTGTTAATTTCCTCATTACCTTCTTGGGAGGAGTACCACTCCTTGCCCCTTAACTTGGCTTTGGCCCTGTGACTTGCTTTGGCCAATGGCAGATACACTGAAGAGACAGTCCAGTGCACCAGCTCTGAAGCTAGGCCTTAAGAAGACTCTCATATTTCCTATTGTCCTCTTTCACTCTGCACTTGTCATAACAAGCACATCTCCTGTGTAGCTGCGGCTTCATCACCCTGCATCCCACAATAGGTACATGCAAAATAAAACTACTCCACTGACTTATGGATCCATGACTAAACAATGGAGTTTTAAGCCACTGGGTTTGGAGATGGTTTATTGTATACATGACTTTGTCAACAGGTAAATGATAGACTGTATCTTCTCCCCACATGCAAAAGCGTCAGTTACTCACCGTCATCAATTCCAGGCCAACCCATGAAGTGAGCAGAAATCTGTTTCTCATCCTTCCCATACTCATTCTTGGCTATGAGAGTGTAGTCCCCATTGTTCATGTGAGTGGGATTATCCAACTGGAGGCAGCCGTGGTACTCCGTGTGATTGGTAACGTGTATTTTAGTACAGATGTATTTGGACTCATTCAATATTGCCCCGTTATAGAACCACTGAAGCGCTGGTTTGGGGTTGCCTTTCACAGTGAATGGAATGCACCAGTGGTGGTCTGAGGTTGGAGATTCGAGAAATGTGATAGTTGGTGCAACTAAATTGAAAAAGAGAGAGTTAATAGCATCAGAAAGCTCAGAATTCTCCCCATCGAGATGTCTTCATTGATAGGGAATTTTACTCAACTGTTATTTGGCTTAGAAAAACACATGACCAGAAACTCTGGAATCCATCAGTATTTTGTATCATCATCAGGGTGGATGTAACTCCCTGCAGAGAGCTTCAGAGCAACTCCTTCTACTGTTCTACTTAAGACCCATGCATTACAGTCATTTCTCAAATCTATTCAGTATAATTGAAAACCAGCTCCAAACAGATCCAAGAGATTTCTGAGAGTGGAAAGAATCCATTTGAAGTTGACTTTGGCTAATAGTATCTGTATCTTGATATTACATAGATTCATCACCAAAAATACCAAAAATCATAAAATAATGGATACTTTTTGATAGTACTTCTTTCCTAAATAAAACAAATAACAAAAATGACTCTTAAAATTTTACCTGAAGCCCTGATCTCACAAACTTCAAAAACAGATCAAACTGATCAATGTAATATATGTGCTGCTACTGATTAATTATTGTAAGTATAATAAATCATTATTTTTTACTGCTTGTCAATAGTAAATACCCTTTGAAAGTATCACATTTCATCAGAGTGTTGTCCATTTTTGCTAAGATCCTACATGCCAGTGTTTTGATCCTTTAAATGTTTGGGGTCCAATCTAAACCTGGACAGATTAGATATTATTTCAACTTTAAATATAAAGCACTTTATCCTTTGGGGAAACAAACATAATCAAGTACACTCTTTAAACAGAGTACTTATCCTGGGTGAAGATATTTAAAATCCTTCATCTGTTTATTTTAATGTAGTCTGACTTTGGTAATTACAAAATCAAGGACTAGAAAAGACCTTTGAGATCTAACAGCATCATTTTTTCAGATGAAGAAACCAAAGTGCAATGAGGTTAAGTGACCTCATCAAGGTTACTGAGCAAGGCAGATCTGGAACAAGAATCTTGTCTCCTAATGTTTAATCCAATGGCCCTTCCCTCTCATGCACTCCTTCCTGACTGCATGTGTTCATCAAACGAGAGGAGAAAAAATCTGAGACATCGTAGCCAGGGAACAGACAAGCACTCTGAGTGGGGTCTCTGCAATGGTTATCTTGGTTGCTACTGTTTTCTGTTTGTCTGTTTTCGTTTCTTTAGACTCGCTCTGTCACCCAGGCTGAAGTGCAGTGGCACAATCTCGGCTCACTGCAACCTCCGCCTCCCAGGTTCAAGTGATTCTCGTGCCTCAGCCTTCTGAGTAGCTGGGATTATAGGCGCCTGCCATCATGCCTGACCAATTTTAGTATTTTTAGTAGAGATGGGGTTGCACCATGTTTCCTAGGCTGGTCTTGAACTCCTGATCTCAAGTCAATCCACCCACCTCAGCCTCCCAAAGTGTTGGGATTACAGGCATGAGCCCCTGCACCCAGTCAGATGTTAATATTCTTTAACATGTATTGCTTCTGCTGTTTGTCTAAACTTTGACAGATAAAGTCAATTTTTCAGAGCCTAGTGACCATATAGATATTAACCTGAAACTGAGGAAAAAACTCAAGTTTGGATATTTTTAATAGAAAACAGGTAATCTGATATTACCCTCTTACTTGTATTCAGGTAAATCCTCCCACAATACTACCTAGAAAGAAGAAAAGCTGATAAAAGAGCCCAATTCACTTTCATAAATTTACAGAAAGATTTCCAGTTACCAGTGACATTCCTCTCAATTGAGCAAGTGTGCAGCTGAACTCTGCATGTGTATGTTGTGACAGTGTCCTTCACTGTAAGAAATGCGACTTTACTAAACTTAAATTGGCAAAGTTTAATTGTTTGCTTTACCAAATATCTCTCACAGGCCTCCTTAAAATGGTCTTCAGAAAACAAAAGTTTTTAATATGTGATTTCATCTATAAAAATTCAATTTAAATATAATTTGGGGGAACCCTATATATACATATATATATATAAAACACAAAATAAGGTCCATACATGTGTAGATACACACACTCATAGACCTGTGTTATAAACCAATCACCACAAAGACCACAGTGGGGCAGAGGCCACACTTACCTTCCTCCCACCAGCCCAGGTCCCCACACCCAGGGCCCACTCATTCCTTCCACCATGCTCAAATGAATTTTGGGTTAGGTGCTGATTTAAGGACATATAGTTGGAAATGGTTGCAAACGTTTGGAGATAACATTGACTTCAGGCTTCTGAGTGGGTCAAAATGATGAGAAATTATGAGTTTAGTCCCCACTGGGCATAGTGGTGGTACTAACAGTGATAAAGGATTATAGCTGATGATTTCAATTGTTCACTCCAGCAATCACACACTGAATGTGTGCTATGAGTGAGTGTTAACCAGCATATTGGCACCAGCTATGGCCAGGGGTCTACACATGTGTAACTCATCCACACACTTACACACATGCACACTCATGTTTTTCTCATCTGAGTTCCAATACAAATGGAGTAAAACCTCATTAATTTATACTATGCCAGGTCAGAATTTACAATGACATGAAGTGTCTATATAGTTTTTACTGAATATACATCATCATGCTAAAAGCCACAATTTGGAATTTCAAAATGTATATTGTATTAGTTATAATACTTAAGAACAGTGCACTTATGTTTAAGAAGATGGATATTTTTAACTTGGATTCAATGTATACAGAAATTTAAAACAATAATAATAAAAGTTTTCTACAGGTGATAATTTCAATAATTTAAGTAGGACTAATTCTACCTTCTCACAGAAACTTGATGTCAAATGAATGAGGTTTTATTTTATCAACAGTACAATTGGGCATTTGTGAACAGGCAGCAAATACTTTAGGAATCATAATTTTAAAGCATCATGTTGCTTTTATAGAGGAAGAAAGTTTTAGAAACTGGTTTATGAAAATTTAAGCTAAAACATTAACAAAAGGGAGCAACCAGCCCGAAAAAATATTCTATTAGAAAAAAAGACAGAGGAAGGCACAAAACGACAAGCTCAAAATCAAGAAAGAAGCTTAAAAGAAAGATAATGGATGAGCAAGAGTTGTCAAGCAGAAATTGAACAAGTAAGAGGCTGATAATGTTTCTTAACTAAGTATGCACAAAACACTGCATATACTTTTTTAACAAACTTAAGCAGCACCCAGAGTGCTCCAGCAACAAACGTAGATGTGTCCATGATCATTTGCTATTAAAAATACATGCCAGTCTGATTACGTACAATGCACAGTGAGGTTGACAGAATCTTGATCTTCTCCTACAAGATTTTCTGCCACACAAGAGATTTGCTTCCCACTGTCATCGGATGAAATGTTAGTTATCCTTAAGGAGCCCTGTGTGTGGCTTGTTTCATTCTACAAATAAATTAACAGAAAAAAAAAAACAAAATAACCTTGATTAGAATTGATCCCAAGTGACAGGATTTGGGGTTTCTTTCCCTAACTAGAGAAATATATATATATAATATTAGAAAAGAAAAGCTTCTCTGCCTGAGCTGGGCTCAGGCAAACAAGTAAATCAGAAGTTATTCTATTTCTCTAGGTTTCACTTGCTAAGTGTATGAGGTTGACTTGATCCCTGAATTCCCCCTAAGGGAGAAGACCATAGGGAAAGTCACTCGCTTTTCTCAGGATAATACAAAGAGCTCACTAGGAATATGAAGACTCCTCGCTCTATCAGGTATGCATAACTAAAATGCAAGCCTGCATTAGTCTTTGTTAATTAAGAATAAGTAGAAAGTAAATGTACATCAAAAACTCTTTGTAAATTTCTCTATGTAGCCCTATAAAATATCAAATAATCATCGCTAGGTTTAATACATTCTCACATTCTGAAACACTCTTGTCTCTTTATTAAGACACAGCCAAACACAAGCCTTACCATATGTTTGGAAACCAGATTACCAACATCCCAGTACATATTAGGAACCGGATCGCCTGCCACACTACAGGATAACGTGATAGACTTTCCTTCCTCCACAGTGAGGTTAGGTGCAGCCAAATTTGCAGATGGCAAACCTATGGAACAAGAAAAGTAAGCAGAGGTGTATGCAAATAGTTAAATGCAGTATCGAAATAATAGCAATAAATTGAAAACTGTTTGTGCTTTAAAAAATCAATCTTTAATTGCTTTTGAGACTGATTTATGTTGATCTGAAAAAGTGCCACGTTGATCAGCTTCATAGATTTCACGTAAACCAAAAAAGCCATAATTAGATTTCAAAATAAATTATGCACATTTCTTAAAGTACTATTGCAGAATGACCTTTTACTTTCAAGAACACTAGCATATAGAACTGTCTTCCACCTTTTTTCTGTTCTACAGTTACTAATCCAGTTTCTGCACATAAACGTTAGTCTATAGTACCTGTAGACTAACATTATGTCTTTTATTTCCCTCTGCCTCCTACCCTTCATTGTTTTTTATTGCTCAAGAACACAAAAGGGTGAGATGCATCTATTTTGCTTTTGCAAAAAATCTGTTTTTTTGTATTAAGTAACTCTCACAAATCTAACCTACGACCAGACACAGATTTTGAAAGAGTCATTCTGTTGAAGAAAATATAGTTTCAAAGCATTTTTCAGACAGGAAGCTTAAACTATTGCAGTGTTAGAATGTTTCAAAGTTAGGTAAAATTGTTCATCTTATTTAGAATATAATGCAAGTGGGTATATAGATGCATTCCAGTGAAAAGTTCTTTTTATTGGAAAAATTGTGAGAATGTATTTATTAGATAAACCTTTGAACCTTATAAACATTTTTTAATAGTCTAGCAAAGCATCATTTTTATCCTTTTATATTTCAAAAGCTATGTGTAATTTTAGCGATGTTGCTATCACTTCATGAAAGTATCATACCAAGTGAGTGTTGACACTGCTTTAAACTGCATAAGGATCATAGTATTTTTTATATATAGACATGTCCTAAAGGATATAACATTATGTCAGGACCTGCTAGTGGAGCCTATCCCTCTCTTGGTGTCAGAAAATCTGCTTGGGACTATAGTCACCCATAGCTATGTCCTGCAGGACTATGATACATCATTAACTCAGATCAGAACCTGGAGGTCAAAAAAGCAACAGCCGTTAAATTGCAATTAACCCACCCATCTGGCAATATCTGATCTGTCATCTTCACATTACTATGCATAAACCCTTCTCTTCTGATGTATTCTTACTGGAAAAGCCATCTTTCTTTATTAGTGAAATCAGGCCAGAATAAGATTTGTACAATCTATGTCTCATGGTTTTTCCACCACTAGGAGAAGACTCCCCAATAAGATCTGGCTTTCAGGGGCTAGTGAGACCTGCTGCTAAACTCTTTCTTCCTGTAAGCATCCAATAGAGAGCAATGTTACATCTTTCATGGGGTTAAAAAAAAATGTCCCTAATAGCCAGTTATACAGGGCAATGAAATATATAACAATGATTAACAGAGAGTGCAGAACACCCTAAATCCAGCACATACTAACTTTGTGATCTTGGATGAGTTTTGTTTTTCTCAATGTGTTTTCTTCACAACTTCTATGACAATTAAGCTGTTCAATTTATTATGAAGCATGTCAAGACAAGACAGAAGAAATGGGCTTACTTAGTGAAATCTCCTTGAAGTCAATTGCATAATCTGGGTGACTTTTAAAAAAATATATATACTTTATTTTATTTAGTCACGTGGTTTGAAGAGTTGATAATTCTATAAAACTTATGAAAAAGATTAAAGCTACTGTGTGTGAAAAACAGTAGTCCCACCTTACCCATGTGGTACTATTTCCTGTTCCTGGAGGCACCCATTTCATCACTTTTAATTTCTTCTTTTGGTATTGATCTGCTCATCTTTAAGTATTATTCTTTATTGCTACTTCTTGGTTTTCCTGTTTCAGCAGTATCTACTGACCTCCCACAGTGGAAGATGAGACAGACATGGGCTCACTTTCACACAGAATTCCAGCCCCCCCATGGCCCCCACCACATTCAACATACTCTACATATGCTGTAAAGTTACATTTTCTCGATGGAGACATAAAGATTATCATGAGTATGCAAGCCTTAACAGCAGAACCATCTAATATTCAATACTTACTATATTTCATCAAATTTAAGATAGTGTTAATTACGGGAATGTTGCCAATATAACTATGAGCGTGCTTTCTTATCACTTAGAACTCCCATTGGTTGGAGGTTGGGCCTTCTCCGTAGCCCACTTAATTCTCTAATCCTTTCCTATTTTCCATCTTTTCATTTATTTGCTCTATTCGAAGGGATTTTTTTAGATTAACCTTTAAAACCCCCTTTTAAGGTTGTTCATTCCTCTGTCATGTATTTTATTCCCAAAGCTCTTCTTTTGTTCCTGAATGTTTTTTTTAAATAGCACCCTCTTCTTGTTCCATAGATGCAATATCTCTTACAATTTCTCTGAGATATTTATAATCATTTCTTGAGTTTCTCTTTTCTCTGTATCAACTTTGTTTCTTGCAATTTTTTCCTCTTTCTCTCTATGGTGCTTTTGTGTTTGTGTTTCAATTATAAGCTTTCCTCAGTTATGTCTGGTTGTTCAGACATCTTTAAGAATGGGGTTCTAGAAGCATTGCACATATTTGTGAATTGTCAGCTTCATTGTAGGATAATATTACTGGCCTATATACTAGGTACCATCTAATGTCAGGATCATGAAATCATTTTGAAGAAAGGAGTAGTCAAATTATTCAAATAATGCTCTTCCAACTTCCTGCTTGGAGGAGAAAGAGGTCTGGAAATACTAATATTCCATATGTAAATCCATCATATTCTCTATGGTTCCCACGGAATTTCTCAGAACCTGTGTTTTATCCACTTTAGAGAATTAAGCCTCCAATCTTCTGCTGAGGTGGGAGAGGTTCAGTCACCTGGGCTTAGCAGACTTGCAACCAGTAGACTATTTGACATTACTTGTACTCTCATGCCCTAAGCATTGTAGTAGTTCTGCCCTATAAACCAGTTTTCCCTTGGCTTTCTCCATTGTCAACTTGGCAACCAGTATTCTCAGCCTTTAAGTAAGTTACTATTCATCCATCTGCTTTTTTAGCTTACAAGTGTTTGTGCTTTGTGACTCTCCCTCCCACTTTTCTTTTCTTTCTTTCTTTTTTTTTTTTTTTTTTTTTGAGGCAGAATCTTGCTCTATTTCCCAAGCTGGAGTGCAGTGGCATGATCTCAGCTCACTGCAACCTTTACCTCCTGGGTTCAATCAATTTTTGCGCCTCAGCCTCTTGAGTAGCTGGGATTACAGGCACACACTACCACACCTGGCTAATTTTTTATATCTTTAGTAGAAACAGGGTTTTGCCATGTTGCCCAGACTGTTCTCCAACTCCTGAGCTCAGACACTCCACCCGCCTCGGCCTCCCAAAGTGCTAGGATTATAGGCATGAGCCACCGTGCCGGGCTGTCTCTCCCACTTTCGTTATTTATAGATTTATCTGCTGACTCCAGGGTGACCATCAGAGTCAAGGCCTGTCATGGTGCTTGTTCTCAAGATATGATCCCCTCCATAGCCAGATGCCCACATTGGAGTTTAAAGACACACCCACCTGGACATTTCAAGTACAAACCTATGGGATGAATTTCCTACTTTTTATAAATGTATCTAATAGTTTGGAAATTCTCCACAGAGAAAGGTTAAAATAAACAGATTCTCAGTAGGAAATGCTATGTTATAATGTTAATTTTTCCTATAAAATCTAATGTAGGTTTTTTGTTAAACTCAAGCTTATATAATCAACAGCTCTAAGAGCATTTAATTACAGTAACACTAATATTAGCATTTATTGGGCATTCACTGAACCAAATATTCGTGCATGGTACCTTGTTTTATCTCATTAGAACCAATCTTGAAGATAAGTATTTTGCCCATTTAGTTGATGAAGTATATGAGTTTTGGAAAAGTCAAATACATTATCTAACACTATCCAAGTACATGCAGACCTAGAATTTGAATGCAAAGCTCAGGGTCTTCACCACTACCTCCCAAGATATACATATCCATTTCATCATAGACCATAAATACCACTGAGTATCCTTGATAAAGAAATTATTTCATTTAAAAAATAATTACATGTCTATTCTGTAGAAGCATGAGTCTCCTTTATTTATAGAGAAATTGTATCAGCCTTTCATCGCAGTTTCCAAAGGAATCTGAGCAAAATTGGCCAAGTCTAGATCTTTTATACGTAGTCTTCCACAAATGAGTAAGCATCTGACTCACGTTTAATTCTACAGCGTTAATATGCTGGCCGAAGATTCAATAATGGAAAAAACAATCTGTACTTGAAATATCACTTGAGGTTTAATTAGCACAATAAAAATGAATTGGGAAGCATGAATAGCCAAGGCGGGATAAACCAGTTGCCAGGCACTACTTCCTGGCTTAATAAGATTTGAAATCGGCACAAGTACACAGCAAAGCCCAGCAATGCTTCCAAGAGCTGCTAACTCTACTTTAAAGGGATCCTGACTCTAAGCCTTACAGCTGTCTTCCTTTGCACTCTGGGGAATCTCTCCGGAAATCAGAGAGGACCAGCTTCCCAGGCAGACAGATACCTCCGTGTAAATGTCTCTTGATCTGGATTCCTTCAGGAAGGATGGCCTGGCCTGTAGACCTCAGCAGAAAATCCTCAACCAGGCAGTGAAAATGTTGACTTTCTTTACATCAAAGCTTCCCACACTCTATTGTGCATATGGATCACCAGGGTATCTTGTTAAAGATGTAGCTTCTTTTGCAATAGGTCTGGGTTGGGGCCTAATAATTTGCAGTTCTAATAAACTCTCCCTTCCACAGAACGCACTTGAAACGACAAGGGTTTAGACTATAAGTCTTGGGCAATTGTTCAATGGGCTTTTGTTCTTACAACCATTATTCTTAAATCTGACATGGGCCTGAGTTGTCTATCAAATTTTCCCCAAAGTGTGTCTTATGGAACGCTAATTTCTTGAGATGTTCTAGAGAAAAAAATTTAAAAAAAATCCAAGATAAAAAAAAACGAAGAAGAAGAAAGCCCTGTAAAAAAACTCTGGATGTTCACAACACACATTAGCAAATTAAAAGCTCTGAGAACTCCTACTATAAAAAAAAAACCCATTTTAATTCCATTGATCGTACATTCCCCAAGCAGATTTGAATACATAACATTTTCTTTGATTGTGATGTCTGTTGTGGCTTTATTTTCATTTCAAGCAATTTGACAAAATATAAGATATAAATATATTTAAATTCATATGTAAAATACATTGAAATCTAACTGTTTTTATTGATGGTAGCAATAGCTAATATATATTGGGTATTTAGTATGTGCTAGACTCTATTTTAAATATTTTCCATTTCTTACCTTATCGGTCATCCTAAAAATCCTAGAAAGTAGGTGCCATTAATATTTCTATTTCCAGATGAAGAAGTTAAGACTATCAAGTATCATTACTAAATAGCTAGTGAGGGGGGTTGGCCCTGACCCATGTCTGTCTGTCTGCCTCCTTTGCTGGGATCTGCCATGTCTTTGCTTCCACCCATTAGTGCATACTTGCGAAGAGTTGACCAAATTGACTAGGTCCTTCAAACACTCATTCAAAGTGTGTGGGCCCTCACTTTCTATTAAGGAAAAATAAATCTCTGGTCATTTGGGATTAACTCAGCTTGGCAACAAGTAAGATGGGCCAATGTTGGGTTTTACTAATATTTTTCAGTAACCACCATCAGGTCTGGCTTGTGCTCATTTTCAGATTGCTTCCGTGGTCCTGAGCTCTGTTCATTTGATGTTGGGTCAATATTCTACATGTGTAAAAGTATTCAAGTAAATTATAATTTTGTCTGTTCTCTGCCTTCTCTCTTCTCACTTCTATTTGTGTGCACACAAATAACTTTAAACAAATAAGTACTTTACCTATCTCTTAATTCTCTCTCAGCAGAATACTAAATTTCTATAATCTTCCCCTCTACCCTTCTAATCTCCTTGCCATATCTTCCAAGTTCTTTGCCTCCTAAACAGATATATTCCACAACCAAGAATGAAGCTAAAATGAGCCTGACCTATTTAGAAGTGACTGCTTTGTAACTGGTAGCAAAAACTGCAGAAAATTAGCAAAAGGACTTTGCAAGCTCAAATTTGAAACTGTGCTTCTAAGCACATGTGAGCCCTGTCACAATAGTGACAGCTACTACATAACTTCTAAACACAAAAACTTAAACAGCAGTTGACAGATGAGGAAAAAAACAACATCATTTGACATTCTAAGAAGATAAAGAAAAACAATGATCCACTGTGTGGTTTGCTTTATTTAGAAGGTAAAACCTGATCTCTAAGAAAATTAAAGCAAAGCAGTACACTAAAGTAGTCTTTGTATACAGTTTTCAGGAAAGAAAGTAATCCAACTAAGTTGCTAAGAACATAATGTTTCATATCACTCTAACTTCCACATAGAGCATTAATATAGCATATCCTTTTAATCTGGGAATGTTAACAAAGTGGAATTATTACCAGTCTATTTTCCTGGTTCAACACAAACAAAAGAAGGAGTATGTAGAAATATGCTACACAGGCATATGTGCTACAAATTGTGGTTGAAACCAAAAGTAAGTCTTAAAAATAAATCATTAAATTCAATTTATCTCAAGGAACCCGGCCTCTCCTCCTGGGCACCTGTGATCTGATCTTCACTATCAGATCACTTTTTATTTACATTAAAAGTTTGAAGTTTAGAAAGTAGAAAATGGAAATTATCATCATAAATAGCAAGGAAACCAAAGGCAAGTCTGATTTCAATCCATGGGATCATTAAAGATGGTTTACATAGTAATGGCACAGTTCAACCAACAAGTGAATTGCTACCTTATATTCACTGTGGGACTATCATTCTGTGTGGTAACTACTTACTAGTAAAATAGGTGCAGGAATTGTTTTGATATGACCCTGAGGAGTATTGCCTTTCTTAAATGTATTTGCCATCTACTTAAGATAGAGCATTTCATGTGCTATTAACATTTGCTGAAGAAGCTCTCGAGTAAGATTTAAATAATAATGATATTTTTTTTTTTTTTTTTTTTTTTTTTTTTTTTTTTTTTGGGGGGAAACAATTTTATTTAATTTTATGCTTCAAATTCATATATACATAAATTTGTCTTTAGGTTATCAATATTTAACTTGGGCAGTACTTCATCTTGATTTATTTGGAGAAACACACCTTAGGCATCAAAAGAGGTGCCAATTAGAAAATAAGGCATTAACAAAATTTTTTAACTGACCCACATGCTTTTTAACTTGCTATTGGTTTCACTTATATTTAAGCATTTACTCTTAAGGTTGGCAAAACATGTTATCAATGTATTGTGCAGGAGTTCATCTTTTGTGTAAGTAGTCTGTTGGATTGCCACCCACCCTTGGCCAAAGAAAAACCAAACCCCACTGGCACCATACTCTAAACCACCTGTAATCCTAGGTTAGAAAATTGTGAAAGCCAAAAATCTGTAAGGTTGGAGGGACCCTTTAGTTAATCTTTGGGCTTAGAGGAGGAAAAAAAATAGTCCCATACTGCATTTCACATCTCTTAAAAATAATTTTAGCAGCTTAAACCTTTTTAGTTATAAAACTTATCACACTAGGATTTGCTTTGAAATATAGTTTACAACCAAATCAAGTATAATATATATACACTGGCACTTCAGCACAAGGGCACACTTTAAAAACAAATTATTTTGGACCTTTAAAACTAGGCCATACTATAAAAAAACAGTCCACGGTCTTACATTCAGCAAATTCATACTAAAATATCCCATTTTTGTAAGATAAAGGCCAAGAAAACTTTACATATGCTACAAGTTCATTACAGGTATTTACATGGCTCTTTCTCCCCTAGGTACTTAAAATTTTCACATTATACAGCTCCCGAAAGCCAGCTTTGCAGGAATGATGAGGCCAGATCACTATTATAATAGCCTGTGCAGTGCTGTAATACAAAAATGTATTTTGAAAGCTACTGAGTGACCATTAAATACTGTTAAAAAATGCTTTTGGTGTATTTGTTGGCAGACACTTAATCCACTACATTTAATAAACAGGGCCATTGGGGTGTACTATGTCTAATTCTAATGAGCTCCAAATGCCCTTTCCACCCACTGTATAATTCACTAAAATACAATTATTAAGAAAAATTCACATTTTCTTTCAGCAGTGCATCAGATTGTTAGCATATTACTGATGTGGGTGTTTCCAGTATACTAAACTTGCAGATATTTACCTAATTCTGAATCTGATTCACCAACACAACAATCTGGTCCATGAATGATAAATTACTATCTTCCCCTAACAATAGAAAAAGCTGATTCCTTTACCACTCCCCAAATCTAAACTTGGCTGGTTTCCCCTTAAAAGTTACTCAGTTGAGAACACTTAATATCAAGTACAATTATTTAGTTTTAAGTTGCACTGATACTACCATTACATCACAGTGCACACACACATACGTGAGATGCAGTCTATATTTTTTACATTAATTAGCAGTTCTACACAAATAGATTAACTCCCTGGCGAATTTGTTTCAGACCAGTTGACAACTATCCATAAACATAACTAAATTTAAGCGTAAGTACTTTGTCTTATTTTATACCTGTACTTTAAGTAAGGTTTTAAGTTGAAATGTCATTATTTCCTTGTCTGAAGGATTAAAGGAAACAGGGACCCAGTGGCTTGGTGGTTTGGGAAGAACACTTGGTGATGGCGGCTCACTAAATTTGGCACCAGCATAGTTCTGATTAGCTTGAGATTTAAAAAGTAAGCTGGGACCTGATAAACTAGAGTTCCAACTTTGATTATTTGGAAAATTTTTGTTCTTTCCCCCGTTTTGCATGGCCTGCCACACAGCTGCTGATGAGTTATAACCATGTCCTCTTTCTTTTTTCTTATGAACAATCTTCATCTGGGAATTCTGATCCTTGGTCTTCTGTCTGTTAAGCTGTTGTTGGTTCTTACTAACATTTCTAGATTGAGACGCTGGAATGTTATACCTCTCTCCACCACCCATCTTCAGCTTCTTTGTCACCTTTCAGTCTGCTTTTCAGATCGCAGGATTTCCAATACCTGTCCTCTTCCTTGCTGCCAAGCCCAAGATAACAAGTGTTGCTTTCTGACAGATCCTTTCCTTTGTCTCAATACAGAAGTTTTCATGGGCCGATCTGCTGAGTTCACCCTAGGAGCTGAGGCCCACATCTGAGTCTCCTCAGCACACAAGTTTGAGAGAAGTCCTGGCGACTTCAAGCTCGGAACTACGGCGGCAGCGGCTCCCTCTTGACGTCGAAGCCTCCCCCCCCCTTTCCAGGGAGAGACTAGGCACGGACCTACAAAGCCCACGAGAACCGATGAGCGCGCTGCCGGCCACTCCAGCTTCTACAACCCGACCTCCTCCTCCTGCCTCTACCGACAAAATGCATAATGATAGTATTTTTAAAAATTAACATATTATATCCACTGCTCCTTAATAATCCCATTCTGCCAGGGGAAGTGACTGAAAGTTTTATACTGCAAGACTAACTGCTGACGATCATCTAAGTGTCCAGGAATTGAGAAGAAATGTTTTTTAAATACTAAATGATAAATAAATTCATTAAAAATGCTATAAGAAGTAGCAGGGAGATTTTTTATGTCAGATGATAATCGGCACAGCCTGGCAAAATCAGCTTTCTTTCCCAACACTTACATGATTCTGTTTCAGTCTTCAGAACCATTGCTCGTAGCATCTCTTTATTCCAATTAATGTGGAAATGTAATATGAAAGTGTTTTGTTGCCTTGCAATTAATAAAGTTTTTCTAAGGTTTAGAAGGGCCTTGTGAAGAAACAAACCACCACTCGTTTTACAGCATGAATAAATTTACAGTAATTCACAGCAGGAGGAGACTGTTAGAAAAATATTGTGAGGCATTTTGACTGCACTATTAATGAGAATGATGCAGTTAAACTTCCCAGTCCCATCTATCATGCTCGATTAATCTCTAAGGATATAAAGAAAAAAGAAGAAATGAGATACTCTCAAAAATGCAATGAGGAAAAAAATTTCAAAAAGAACTAAAAAAACTAAACTATGGAATAATTTGGCTAAAATAATGTGTTTAAGTTATTTTTAATTAACTGAAATATTCACACCATTATATTAAAAACCTGGTCCAACGTGACCATTAATATGATATGGTTCATGCATTTGATAATTCAGCAAACCTTCATCAAATGTCTGTTATGTTCAAAGGGTACAGAAGGCACCATGGAATATGCATATTTGCATATAAAATGTAGAGAACTTGTTCTCCATACAATATCTTCATGATTAAATACTAACAAGGGAAGCTTTTAAAGAAAACCCATCTTATAAACAAGTAAAATCTCAATAGCTCTTCTTTTTTATTGAAATAAAAATAGTGCCAATTGCAAACTAAATACAATGACCACGGTAGTTGCGGCAAATTGTTGGGTTATGATGATGACACACACAAGACCATGGTCTCTACTGATTCAGCTAGCTAAAACGTTTCACCCCCTACCCCCTAGAAAGTGTGGAAATAAGATGAACTTCAAATCTGTAACTTAAACACAACAGATGTGTTTCAAAAGTATATGTAAAAGAAAAAGCCAGCTGACCATAAATTCTTTTTTTTTTCAAACAAGACATCTACCTTGAAGATATTGGCATGTTATCATCTGGTTTCTTCAACACAGAATTTCAAAAAAGATTTTAAATCTAACATTCTAGTGTCATTTTCTGTTTAGATTATCTAACTTCTCCTAAAAGAACTGAAATTGGGAAATCATCAAAAGAAAATTAATACATGACTAAGCCCCAAAGTCAAAGCTCCCCTTCTCAGCCCAGATATCTAGAACTGATGCTCAATATTTTTCTTAAAATCCAGAACCATGTTAGAAAATGAAAAGGCACGACATTGATGGACAAGAAACTATAAAAAACACCTGAATGAGAGAAAGCAGAAGAGGATTAATGAAGAGCAGCACAGTCCCACATGGACACATAACCACGTGCTTCACAAAACAGCAAGGCTCTCAAAGGACCCAAAAGTAGAGGCAGGATTGCAGGACTCCATGGAGATATGGCAAATCCTAGTATGGAAAAGGGCATTTCGGTCACAAAAAATGACTCACAAGAGATTATGGAAATTGATAATCAGTGATTGAAAGAAAACAAAAAATCAGCAGCTGGAGAAATAGCTGAAGAGCTAAGTAGTGAGTAAACCAATTCTCCCATAATGCAGCACACAAGGACGAACAGATGGAAATGACTAAGGAAAGGGTGACTGGTGTGGGCGGAGCCAAAAGTGTAAATATCTATCCAATGTCTATTCCTGAATGAAAGAATACGTAGAGCAAATCAATAAGAAAATTTTTCCAGAACTGAAGACGTGAACCCTCACATTGAAAGGGTATCCCACACACCAAGCAGAATTAAATGACAACAAAAAAATTTAACCCTGCATCTAGTTACATTGTGGTGAAATTTAAGAATAACATGGATAAGGAGTAAATCCTAAAAACTTCTAAAGAGGAAAAAAAAAGCACGGGTTATCTAGCAATAGCAAGCATCAGACTAGCCTCAGGCTTCTCATCAGTAACACTGAATACAAATAGAATACAGTGCAATATCTGCAAATTTCTGAGTTTTTGAGCCTATAATGTTTTACCCAGCAAATTCCACCGAGAATAAAAAATACAGGCCAATTTCTCACCACTCAAGAACTTGATTTAATTTTTTTAATTTATATGAAAGAAGTATTTGAAGATATACTCCAGGAAGAAGAAAAATCACACCATGAGAATATAGTAGGAGACAAAAGTGTATAATATGCAAAGAAATAGGGCATCTTCAAAAAAGCCAGGTAACCATATAAAAATAAAATTCCAGATGACAACAAACTGAGAGCTGGGTGGAGAAGTAAAGGGAAGAAAAAATATATTTCTGCCTTATTGGTGGTTATATCTCTATGCAGAAAATATATATTTAAATCTCTGCAGAAAATATTTCGGCTTTATACATTTTTTTAAAAAAGGGAATATATATCACTTTCAAACAATTAAGAAAAAACAAAGAGCAATGAAAGTAAAGACAAGGAAAAGCCCTACAGAAAAATAGACAAAGGATATAAACAAGTAATTCACTGAAACATAAACACAGTCCAATAAACACATGAGATACTCAGTAGTAATCAGGAAAATGCAAACTCAAAAGCCATGACATAGCATTTTTTAGAAAGATAAACATTAAAAAGTTTGCTAATTTCAAGGTATACCTTGTTAGAGTGGGTATAAACAGTTAACAGCCATTTTTTAATGTGCAAACCATATAAACCAAAAATTCTGCTTCCTTCTATGTATTCTAGAGACACCTTTGCACTTGTACATGTGTTTAAAACGCATGAATACGGATGCTTGCTGAAATATTTGTGTAGTAATAAAAAATTGAAAATAAGCAAAATGCCCATCAATATGGAACATTTAACTAATTAAGACACGTTGTACCATGAATACCATGCAATGGTTAAAAAGAACATGATAAATCTATGACTACTGACCTGAAATGGTTAGGAGCAAGAAAAAGACTAATTTTATATGTGTAATGTAGGGAACTACTTTTGCAAGAAAACATATCAATAAAAGTAAAACACTTGAAAGAGAATAAAAATTAAAAGGGAAAGAACAAAACAGTTAAGAACACAAAAATGATAGGAAAAATAAGTCTGTCAATTCACCTGTCACACTCTTTCATAATGTTACTTGTTGAAAAGCATCCTTGACTTTGAAATGAATTGTGAATGTTACCAAAAATATAACCATTCAATCCTAATCGATCAATTGAGTCCATGTCCTCGTCACAGTAGTTTCAAAAACTCACTCTTAGACACACAATTCACTAATTTGTAGAAAATAGAAAGAAAAAATGGTTGAAAACTGACAAATGGATTAGGAAAAATGAGGACCAGTTCACTCCTTATGTGTCCTCCATCCCAATCACAATAGCTGAGCAATAACACGTAAGGCGGGGTGCATTCCCAGAATGCTGCCAAGACAACACAACCGAAAATTAAAACGGAAAAAGTGGAATTGGTTTCAGGCAAGGGCAAAGCAGACGTCTGTTAAGAGGCAATTTGTGAAATCAGAGCAGGAGTCAGATGCTTTCTCTCTTTTCCTATCAGTGGCTGCTGAACCAATGTGGCCACAACAGCCGTAGGGATTTGGGAGCTGGCCAAAAGGCCAGGTGATTCAACATTGAATTACTTGTCCCCCTAGGCGATTTCTCTCAGCGGTACAAATTTGTACCAGAATAGAGAGCAGTTACCCTCTTATCAATCAGGAAAAGACACATATTAAAAAGTTTTTTATTTTTTAAGTGTTAGCTAGCAAAGAAAACTGACAGAGGTTGGCAAGAGAACAAAGCCTTATTTCCCCGTTACGAAACCAAAGGGCTCTATTTGTGACAGAAAGATCTGTGGGAAGGGTCAGCGCTGTCTTCTAAGGTTGTTCAGGGTAAGAAACAGACACATATCTTTTTTTTTTTTTTTGAGACGGAGTTTCGCTCTTGTTACCCAGGCTGGAGTGCAATGGCGCGATCTCGGCTCACCGCAACCTCCGCCCCCTGGGTTCAGGCAATTCTCCTGCCTCAGCCTCCTGAGTAGCTGGGATTACAGGCACGCGCCACCGTGCCCAGCTAATTTTTTGTAATTTTTAGTAGAGACGGGGTTTCACCATGTTGACCAGGATGGTCTCGATCTGTTGACCTCGTGATCCACCCGTCTTGGCCTCCGAAAGTGCTGGGATTACAGGCTTGAGCCACCGCGCCCGGCCATATCTTTATTTTTATCGCATTCCTACAAAGCACGTGCAGCCGCTCCATTTTTCTTAAATAACAAATAGACCTCAAATAATAGGGTCTTCCGAAAATAATCCGCTGTTTATAGTTAATACACAGATTCCTTGTGCACAAGAACCAGGTGCTACATGGCTTTCTGCTGTGTCACCAGCCACTAGGCCAGAAGATCAAACATAATTGTTTGTGAACTTGTTAACTGGTTGACTAACAGATTCAAATGTCAATGGGGGAGTAACATGCGTGTGTGGGTATTATTGTGGTACATCACTGAAGACTAGTAAAATCCTAAGCCGAACACTTTGGTATTCCTTCCTTATAACTCACCATAACTCACAGGAGCTCTGATTTTGCCATTCGGTGCCCTTTTAAATGTTGGAGATGAAAACACTGGGGAGAGGAGTAGGGGATGATGGCAAAGTAGGAGACCTTAAATCCAGACATGGAGAAAAGCACATGGCACGGCAGACTTGGGGCACCCCATCAAGAGACACAGACACCTGGCAGTAAGACAAGTTTAAGGGTATGTGCTGGATTGAATTGCATTTGCTTGTGCTGCAAGGACACTTTCATCATCCTGAGACCCTTGGCCTGGGTGCCAACCAAGGGTATTTGTGGCCAGAGAAGTGCCACACTTTCAGCAGATAGTTTTCGCACGGACAGATAGGTGGATGAGTGGACAGATGAACAGACATGAACAAATAAGCAAATGAACAAACGAATGGAAAGAATGAGTCTTCAGTGATGTACCACAATAATACCCACACACGCATGTTACTCCCCCATGAGTAGTGTACTTTTTCCCTATGTACTTTATAGCCATCCACTCTGAATTAATGTTCTACTAGCAAAGAATATTCAGCAAGTTGCTCCCAGCTGATTTCACCACCCTGCACATAAAGGTTGTCTGATTCACTAGAGACATCAACAGAATACTATATAAAATCCAGGTAATGGTAATTTTCCCAGACTACCACACCAAGGCAATGAGAATAATTAATAGCAACTAGAACACATTGATTTAAAAATAAATTACCACAATTGGGTATCTGCAGGTTTGCCAAGGGAATATTCTTGCTGCTTTCATTCAGGCAGTACAAATCCTCAGTGTCTGGACTGGATTTGGCCTCTTGGAGAGTCTTGATCCACATAACATCACAGGAGCATGTAAATGGATTGCCCACCAGGATCCTACAGGGAACAAAAATGACAACAGATCAAGCTCCTTTTTCCATTTTAGCTACAATAGTGCTTGTAAAATACTATAACATTATGAATTCTCTCTAGCCAGTAACCTTTGGAAGTCAAACCACTTTCATAGCATCACAGCACTTATTATTCCTTCATTTGTCTGATGCACTTACTGAGCTTCTGCTATGGGCAGACAGCACTGGAGAATGATACAAGACCTTATGGAATAACAAGGGAAACAAGATAGGGACAGAAATAGCCAAAATATAGGACAGAAAAGAATGTCTTATCACATGGGGAAAATAAGGTGCCATGACAAATTTATCGTGATTATTATAGAGTTACTAACAAGATGCCAACAATACGTTTTCAGGAATGCTAACATACTTATTTCTGACCAGGCTAAAGGTGCAAGTGTTATCACTTTCTAAGCTGAAACTTCAGCAGGGGGCAGAACAATTTCATCTCAATTTAAAATGAGACTGTAAATACAAAGCTAAGACTAAAGTGTGAATGTCAGAAGGCTGACACCCCTAGCTTTCTGCATTATGCAATCACAGTCAGTTTCATTGATTCAAGATAGTGGGAGTGAAGGTGAGAGAGAGAACCTGGAAAGGAGCTGTAGACCTTCTTCACACACAGACACACACAGACACACACACACACACATACACAGACACACACACACACACAGAGCAAGCTATTCTGAGGGCAAGGCAACTGAACTGCAGATTGAGCTGTGTTAGACCACGGTGGGAGGAAAGCCACCACCATTCAGACCTCAGCCATGCTGCCTGGACTCCTGTGGCCTGCAATGGCTAAAAGAGGAAGTAGTCAAGAGGAAAATAAAAACCACAAGAAAAAAAAAATCTTTAAATGCTTATTTATAATACTCAGTGGCCTATTTAAGATGAATTCCATTTATGGTAATGAGGCTTTAAATGAGGCCATTTAAAATTGTTACATAGACTCTGCCTGGCATTAACCACAATACTTAAGATTGCTGTGAGGACAGGACCTGGGCTTTGCAACATCATTTACTCCTGTGGTTTTCTGTTTGGGTTCTAAGAATCTCAGGGATCCCTGGAGTCTTTTCCAGGAGTTTCTTAGGGGAAAATGTGGTCATAGTACACTCATTTAATTTGTGTCTGCTTCATCACCTCCAAATATCTCTCCAACACCAACATGGGAGTTGATGTTATAAGATATGGAATAGAATGCAGAAAAGACCCACCACCAGTTTAAACCCCATGAATCCAAAATGCTTCCTGGAGCTCTGAGTACATGCAAAACTAAAGAATCTTTCTAAAAGAGGATATAATTAACTCAGCAGAAGGGATAAAGAAGCAAAGGAATGTTTCAATTATGAATACAGCAATGTTCATATGACAAGACAACACTGGTGCACAGCTGGCTTCTTTCTCCAGCTTACTGTACAAGCTCGATGATTATGACAGCACATTACACTTATATCTTTAGGTTTCTACCTCTTCCACTGGATAACAGAATCCAGGAACATAGAAACTTTTCTCCCTTTATCCCATGGCCTTGTGCCACATCATTTTGATTTGTAATAGGTACACAATTAACATTTGTGGAATGAACTGATTATGCTTCAAGAACATTGAGACATAAATTTGAAATTAAAACTCTAATTTTTAATCCAGCAAGAAAATGTTATGCAATTTTGCTCAAAATTTTTACCCCAAGTACTTTACCCTATCTCATTTATATTCCTTTAGTTTATCATGCCTATTCCTGTGTTGAAGCATTAGTGCTTCAATGTCCTGAATTCACTTTATTCCAAATAATTGCCAATTGCCAAGATTTTCACAAATAACACCCGTTGCACCTATTAACTTGTTGTCTCTCCAGCAGTGACATATTCCAATCTGCACAATTTCCTTGTGAATAGGGATGGATCTTCATTTAAAAGAAGAAAAAATTCTCCACAATTCAGGTAACATTGAATTTAAGCAGATGCCATTGTCTAATCTTCAACAGCCTTGTCCTGGGCCCACATCTGCCCCACAAAGCCTCTGCATTAGGATGCTCTGAGGTGCCTTGCCACAAGAATGGCAACAGCTCATATTTGTTTCATGAGAACAATTCAAGAAATTGAGCTTACTTGGAAATGCTGGCTGTTAGTCATCAACACCTTTCAATACGTTTTCTATCATTTCACAACAGAAGAAAATGGGACTTAAAAATAAATACTGAATGCAATAACAGACCTGGAAGAAAATCTCACAAAGACGGGTGGGGAGAAAGAAGAATAACGTCTCCCACAACGTTCCCTATCATTAAGATGGACAAATGTTAAGGGGGGTTTTGTCCATTTTTATTTCCTCCTTGAATGGGTTTGCTTGACTTTAGGGTCTAGATACAACAGGAACCAAACCGATGCTGTGAGATACAAAATATATAGCCGTTTTCACACAAAGCCCCCCTTTTTTTTTCTCTTTTTTTGCCTCTACTAGAAATTATTTATGTAAAAACAACATTTAAACAAACCAGAAATGGTATGTTACTACTGAGATTTCTATTTTTTTAATTACTGAACTTTTTAAATGAAAAATAATAAACCACAAGGGAATAAATGACAGAGACTGAAACTCAAAAGATTTTTTGATTCTCAAAAAAATCATTTTTTGAGAATTTGATATAAAAATAGATCTGCAGCATCACTCATTAAAAGAAAAATACTTAATTACCCCTTCCTTTGAAAACTTTTCCCCAAATGCCACAGAAAATCATTACTTACAGTTCAGACAAGTCAAGGTGACGGAAGTGTTTCCTAGACAAACTCGTCAGTTTATTTCGGGTAAAATTGCTGAAAGGAATCAAAAACATTGAACATGAATTTAAAATGTTACTTAGGAACACGGTATTCAAAGAGATTTTGTTTTCAAAACATAATTTTATTTTATCATTATACATGCTTTACTTATATCCAAATATCTCTCTTTGATTTAGAGTAATAGCTGAGTTTTTCCTCTAGCCTTGTCTACATTTTTTATTTGCAGGGAAAAGTAACATATTTTTTATATTGTGTGCTTTTAATGTCTTTTTCACCCAAAAGCTTATTTTGCATATATTGATTCACAGCCAATTTATATACCAATTTATATGTAAGATTAATTAAAATTTAAAACTATAAACCCAGTAGGGAAAAAAGATGCCTTAAAACTAAAGGGCATCATGGATATTTTGAAATTATGTGGCACACAAAACTCTGAACATTAACTCAATCCAATATGTCTTTATTGGAAAGACATATTTTATTGATAAAAAAACTCTACTAAGATTGCTTATATATGATCTAGATAACTGAATACCACCATCATGAGAACAAAAAAATTATATAACAAGGAATATGTCAGATTTCATCTTGAGCTAATCTAGTAACATACCATCTTCAGATTTGGATCAACCAGATGATGAAAAGATACATTTGTGATTAAAAAATAATAATTTTCTGACATGTTTCAAACATGTTATTTGATTCAATAAAGGAGTCTCCAATTATTAGTGCCATGAGATTTTGGGGTGGGAAATTCCGAGCCATAATCCTGGCAGCTGACTCACTCTGCAAATTTGTTTACTGTTTAAATTTATTTAAAGAGTGTCCAATGCTTGGGCCTCAAGACATGTTTAATAAATAAAATGAATGTAAAATAAACATCAACTTTCATAAAAAAAAACAAGACCTCTACAAACCGGAGGCAGCCAATGAACCTTTCAGCATGTGTTTCCTGCCCAAGAAAGCAAGTGTTGGACTGAGAATTGGATAAAACATGAGACCTGAGGGTGACAGTAATCCTGACCCCTTACCTGAGGAAGGGGCCAGGAAGTCATCACTGAATTATCCTGGTGTGTCTGATCAGTCACACAGTCCTGGGGTTACAACCCAGGAGCTAAAGCATGAACTAAGGCTAGTCAGTTGATAAAGAAAGAACCTACCACTCTGATGTCTCATCATTCAAGAGTGTGTGTGTCCACTCCCAGCTTAATTCTATACTGAGATCTCCACTCATCCAAACCCCTACTTACACAAGGATACCCTCCTTCTTTCTACACGTACATCTTCTCTCTTCACACCGAGTATAAAGTGCTACCCACGTGAAAAAAATAATCCACGAGGAAATTGTAAAATGTGCCCACATAAGCCTCTTCTTTTGGAACATAAATTAAGAATGGGTTTCGGCCTAGTGCAGTGGCTCACTCCTGTAAACCCAGCATTTTGGGAGGCCGAGGCTGGTGGATCACCTGAGATCGGGAGTTCAAGACCAACCTGGCCAACATGATGAAACCCCGTCTCTACTAAAAATACAAAAGTTAGCCAGGCATAGTAGCAGTTGTAACCTGTAACCTCAGCTACTTGGGAGGCTGAAGCAGGAGAATTGCTGGAACCCAGGAGGCGGAGGTTGCAGTGAGCCAAGATGGCCCCATTGTACTCCAACCCAGGTGACAATAGTGAGACTCCTTCTCAAAAAAAAAGAATGGGTTTCATTGGTGTACAATGCATTGAAAAGTCAGTTTACCTATCTTTACCACAGTCTCTAAGGAGCAAATGTTTTCATCTTCATCAGAAGTCCCAATCTTTCTAAAACAAAGAAACTAAAAACCAAAAACCTGCTTTCCTCCTAAGGAAAAAGGTGGAGAGAGGCAGCGAAGAAAGGGGAAGCTTAGGGTGAAGGTTCTCCCTTTCTGCTGGTAAAATGCCGCCCCGCAGAGCTGCTGCCTCTGTGGGGCTGCCAGCAGCACTGCAAAGAGCGGGTTTATGGGCCAAAGAACAAGATGAGTCTTATGAGCCATACTTATTATTAGGGCCAAAAGCCAAAAAGGAGGAAGAGGGGAGGGGAAAAAAAATCAACAATCCTCTTACTGTTTGATTATAGAGCTTTGCAAGGGAGCTAATTAGCACCTCTGCAAAGTCCCTGGAAAACACAAATACCAGCTTTTCTCACAGTCCCTGGGCTCTTAGGGGCTGGGCAGGAATTAAAGGCATCAAGAAATAACTCAGTGACTAGTCTCTGGGCTCTGAGCAGTCCCCACCTGATGCTACAATGGGCAGGATAGGCGGAGACTTGGTGAAAGTGAGAGAGAGGATCCCATTTGAATTTCCCTATTAGTAAAATAGACTGATTTGGCATGCATTTTTATATTGCTGGGGAAACTCAGAAAGATCATCAGTATATCCACGGGACAGAGCGAAACAGCTTTTAATACATATTTTGTTATCAGTTCCCTTGCACCCCACTGTGTTAATATTTGCGATAAGAGTGCAATTTGCATGTGAAAAATCAGGGGACCACCAAACAAGCTGGTCCCCAGAGTCCTCCATCATAAGCAGAGGTTAGGTCTAAGATCCGGAAAGGCAGACACCTGACTTAATTCCTTCCTTCCTCCCTACTGTTTCAAAAGCAAACTTAATTTAATTTCATATTTTGCTGATTAAGAGCCTATTTTGTCATGTGAATATACAAAGCTTACTGCCATCCGATGACCTCTTCATAATTGCCTGATACTTGCCTATTTCTCCCTGTCTTACTATACACTAAAGGCTACAAATATCAGTAGCGTTTTTGTAATTTGATCAATGATCGACATCTCAACTATTGCTTCTTAAGAAAACTGTGTAAGATACGTATGTCCCTTTAGCTTCTCATCTTTAAATAATTCTTCTCTTATAGGGATAGATATTTGGCTTTATATAAGCTGTGTACTGCACAAAGAATACCACTAAAATTCTCTTGTCCTATATCAACATAAAAAAATATACAAGGTGGCTTTCATATTCACAGAAATAGCATGCAACAAGGAAAATATACAAAGTAAAGTGAAGTAATAAGTAAGTCTATTAATAAAACTATAATTAGTTAGAGCCCACTGTCCAAATCACAACATTAGGAGCAGTGATGTGATAAAAGAGCCAGTAAAATGCAGTTGTTGAGTAATTTGGGTGTAAGGTCAACTGTAATGAAAATACCAGAACTTAACCACTGAGGCCATTAATTACATCTAAGTGACTGCGTTAGAGCACTTCGCCTTTTTCTTCTATCCAGCTTCTCTCTTGTTTATGCTATCAAGGCCTACGCAGCCATCAGATTTGTGCAGACTGCAGAGATGATTCCAAAAAGCATTTAATTGAAATGTGTTAATAAAGTTCCCTGGAGTTTTATCACATTTTTTCAGAATGTTTTATGTCTTAATTTACAGACTTTATTTTCTTTATTTTTAAAGTGACTTCAACATTAATGCCACCTATAAAATATGAAGCTGTGATATTGGCTTTATGAAATTCTTATTTTCCATAATATCAACAAATTTCAATAGAGTGTCCAGGCAATCCACTTCTAAGAGAATAGTTTCTTTCTTTCTTTTTTTTTTTTTTTTTTTGAGAGGGATTTTTATTCTTGTTGCCCAGGCTGGAGTGCAATGGCACAATCTTGGCTCACTGCAACCTCTGCCTCTTGGGTTAAAGCGATTCTCCTGCCTCAGCCTCCCAAGTAGCTGGGATTACAGGCATGTGCCACCACGCCTGGCTAATTTTGTATTTTTAGTAGAGATAGGGTTTTTCCATGTTGGTCAGGCTGGTCTCGAACTCCTGACCTCATGATCCACCTGCCTTGGCCTCCCAAAGTGCTGGGATTACAGGTGTGAGCCACTGCGCTGGCCAAGAATGGTTTCCTTTATAACTGGCATGGAAATCAGTTAAGAAACTGTTCTTTTCAAAAAAAAAAAAAAGAGGACAAACCTTATAAGAAAGTCTGATTCTCTAATTATATAGATGACACAGTTTTATTTCCTGTACTCTTATTGTAAGAACATGGAGAAGGGTTGGCCATGGAGACATAACTCTGCCACTTACAACCTGTGAATCTGAGCAAGTCCTAGAACTTCCTCACTCTTATTTTACCTGTGAAATGTGAATTAAAAAGATCTATCTTCCCTACCAATTGTCAGAAGAAGATCATGTGAAATAATCAAGGTGAGGCTCCCACAGGTAGACTATGACATGTAAGGTATCATTTTAAAGAGAATTTGGCCCAGCAAAATAGCATCAATGAATGCAGGCAACAACCTTCTGTCAAAAGCACTAAAAACTCGTTATGGGAGTACAAATCTGAGCTCAGTGATGCATAAATATTCTGCACTTAGGTGATCTTTAGTTTAATAAAGACAACTCTCAGGAAAGCCGCACCTTATGGACTTAAATGCCATCATCTAGAGAATTTAGCAACAAACAAGTTAACAGTTCCCATTTTCCATATTTCCATTTGACTTCAGTGGACAAAATCAATAAGACTTTGGGGAAACATTTCCCATTGTTAATAATTTTCTGTACCTTTGGCGTGTCCCATGATTGATTTTTCTCTACCTTTATCAATCCATGACAGACAACTTTGGGAAAATGAAGGTTCAAAAGAGAACCCTATTTAGGGGGGGAAAGCACCAGTAATTTTTATTTCCCTACAAAGGCCAAGGCCAAGTCAGCTTCATTCAATTCCATTAGTTTGATGTCTTCCAGGGAGCATGTCATGATTCCAAGGAAGAAAACCAAGAACTCTGTGCAAGGACACAGTTTTCACATCAGATTCCTTGCTGCTAGCCCTACTGCTCTGTCCAAGATGGAACTGGCCCAGAAATTCATGAAAGGGAATAAACAGCCTGTTCTAAGTACCCCTCTGAAGCTATTCAAAAATCAAACAAAATCAGAGCTAATGTTTCTAAGCTATTATCACAGCTATACTAACTTTAAAAAGGGAGGTTTCCAGTTGGAAAAGAAGGAAAATAAACAGAGGGGGAAAATATTGAACAAATTGGGTCCTGGGAAGCAAAAGAATCAATCTCTACTTACATGTGCTGCAGGTTGCTGTTTTTCAGAAATGCTTTATGAGCCACAAATTTTAATCCAGAGTCCACAATTGTCCTGTGAAAACACATCATTTCATACATATTAGAACTAGCCAGTGAATGCCTGCCTGGCCAGAGTAGAGGAAAAATCTCTGGGATAACGTGCACAGTCCCAAGTACTCACAGGTTTCTCAGTCCCACGTAAGCTTCAACATCATCTTCATTGATGATTTCTAACCTTTTCTGATTTGCGATAAAACTGCAACAAAGCAGAGAGTGAATCACAGTGACTCAGAATATAGGGAGGACCAAGAAGAACTCCCATCCACCTCACTCAGGTGTCCAAGGTGCTCCCTCCACACTCATCTGAGCCTTGCCATTTAAAAAAAATATGGTGAGGAGAGCAAAATTGAGCATGACTGAGAAGAAACCATGACTGACCAGGTTTCATGATCAGTAACCCATTCACTGGGTTTCATTTCTCCTCATGTCTTATCACTCTTTCACCCAATAATAATTTCACTTTTCCTTTCCTTTCAGGGTACCACCAGTGTACATAGGTGAAAATACCATGGAAATGTATCTACTCCTCTCAAAGGTGTTTCCACTGTTACAGTGAGAGCCACAGAGATGCTGCTGTAATCATTGCACAAGAAAAGTCAGATATTTCCTCAAATTTCAAGAGAGACAGTCACTGCCTCCTCTACCTCCTAAAAATACTAAAATGCATTCCCCCTTCCCTTTCCTCCTTTCTCTCTCTTTTCCTGGCCCAGCATCTCCTCCTTATGCCTTTGTCAGTAACAATATCAATCTTTCCTTTGATGATCGATATTTTACAAACCCCATATGGCCTTAGTGCATTCTCCGTGGGAACCCTCCTCCCTCCCCCACCCGCTAAGTCCTCTAACACAGAGGTGAACAGAGAGAAAACCCCATCCCTTTGGCCACATTGGTGGGTTTAGTGATGTGCACATGATGTCAGTTACACCAAGAGGAGTCTTCCCTGAGATTCAATAAATGAATGCTGGGAGAGAGAGTATCTGTCTTTTTCTGGGATCATAGCTGAAGGACAGTACAGGCCTGGGGCTTCCATGGGGAAATTTTCTGCTAAAGGAAATGGACTGTCCAAGAATAAAGTCAGTCCACAGAAAGAAACAGAGATAAAAAGACAGAATTCTAAAAATACCACTTAAGCCTTTAGATACAACTGTCTCTAAGGCTAGATGTCGCTAACCTAAGTTGATCTTAATTTCTGTCATTTGCTATCAATAAAGTCCCTAGTGATAAAAGCAAATAGCTATTAAAACCACTATAATGGAATTTCCTATACTCCACCTTGTACTATAATTAAGTACTTATCTATTCAGTTTTCTTAGATAACAATGTCTTTGAGAGAGATCTGTTTATAACTGTTATTATGCATCACAGCACCTAGCTCAGTACCCAGTACAAGGTAAGTACTCAAAGGACGGATAGATGGATAGATGGACAGATGGAGAAACAGATGAACCACACTTGAAGTTACAAAGGCACTACAAGAAATTATGCCAGGATGAATTCTCCCTTTTCTTTTTGGAAAAAATTTAAGATATATAACATATTCCAATTAAGACACTGAAAACAAATATGTAGCCCTGCTGCTAACAACCTGAGTTAAAATGAAAAAAATATTAAATGATGGAGAGGAACATACAGCATCTATAGGTACCCACTGTGTGAAAGAAAATGAAGACAAGATGTATAGTAAGGGTTGGGTACCTCTTTTTAGAAAATAAATTTTAAAAATAAAAATAAGTAGACTCTCTGAGAAGACAAAATTACACCAAAGAGAAATAATTTTTAAAGCATCCACACAAACATTATCCCCTGTTACATAAAAAAAGCAGCCTCCAAGATAGAAGGGTGACTTCTCAAAATAATCTTTGCTGTCCCTGATACCCAGGGCCTGGCACACTTAATAGATGTGCAGGAAGCCTTCATTCCCTTCTCTCCTCCCACCACACACAGAAGAAGGAAACATTTTAAGACTTGAAAGGAAAGCTCAATTTTTAACATCAAATGTTTCAGAGTTATCACACTTTAAATACATTTTTGCAAGATTTTTCACCAACATTTTCAATGGAGACCACAGTGACCTCACTCTTCTAAATGATCTCACAATAAGAACTGCATTCCAAAGAGCCCTGAGTGTTAATACTTTTTCTCATGCAACTGACAGAAAAAAGGATTGATAATGTGGGCAAGTTTTCCTTTGTAGTCACAATCTGGACTTCCAGACAAGCCTGTCCACTCCTTCCAGCTGTGTGAGCATGGGGTCTGTCACTGCCCTGAAGTCACTGAAGTTCTTCCTCACTCGTTGCCTGGATCATCCTTGTATCCTCCATGCTCACGAGAAGAACCCGGAACTCAGTGGGGATTCCATTGTGATCTGCACAAAGCGCTCATCTTTAACTTTTTGTTACTTATGGCCTTTATTTTCGTTTTTCATCAGACATTTAATTCATAAACTCCTCAGTTTTATTCAATAGAATACAATGAACCAGCAAATAAATCCATTGGTAGAGATGCCAATGGATTGCACAAAACAAGGTGGGCTGCAAAAAAATGAAAAAAGATAATTTAATTTAAAAATAAAAATAAATAATAAATAAAGAGATATCAACAGAGCCAGGAATTCAGTTTAGAAGTGCATACACTTGTTAGGGGAAAAAACGTACACACATAAGCTTAATTCTATGCTTTCTAGTCACCAGTGCCCAAAAAAGAAGGAGATGAGGATACATTTGGTCAATGGTAAGCTCACAGTATTCAAGAGATGAAAATGAGCCAATTAAGCAAAGCACCATTATTCTGAAATCTAACACCAGACAGGAGATTTTGCTGAAAACCATCAAAAGCACCATGAAAAGAAGTGTTGAAAAACAGTCACTAGAGAATACTTTTCTACTGTGGGGCAAGAATGCACTGGAAAAATAAATAAATTTTTCTTCTTGTCAAGATGGAAAGACCAACAGAAGAGCTGGATTAAAAGTTCAGCAAGGGCTCCTCCAGTAGTAGATCCCAAGAATTCCCCTCAGAAGCTACTACATGTAGTCATGTCCACGATATAGACGCTAGCTACAAACTGCTCAGGAAATCTATCCCCTAAGAAACTCTCCTTAGCCACCACTAAGCGAAGAATCAAATCGGGGTTAAAAAAGAAGCCAGTAAGGTGAATAGAGCAGGGAATTCACAGAGAGGAAATTTCAGTGATCAAGAAACATGAAAAGTTGCTCATCTCCTAAGAAATGTGAAATGCAAATTAAAATAACAATGACATACTATTCCTCTCTCACTAGATTGACAAAATGTTTCAAGTCTGACAATGCAAAACATTTCCATGGATGTGACGACATTTCTCTGACATTTTTGGAGGAAGTGTAAATTGTTATAACTACTTTGAAAAGCACTTGGCCTGTATCTTGGAAAATTATAAATGAGCACCCTTTGTGGCCCAGCAATTCCATTCCAGGTATTCACCCAAGAAAAATTCTCATACACAGATTCAAGAATAGTCTTGTAATATGATCAGTAGAATATTACAATATTTGTTGTCATAGAGTCAAAAGCTGGAACAACCCAAGTGTCCATCCATAAAGAAATAGAAATTGTTTAAAATAAGGTGTGTTAAATATATATGTACATATTAGATTAAATCAGATCTACATATTTGAGCAGAAAGACACAGCCATACTAAATGAGAAAGAAGATAAGCAAAACTGTATACTGATATGCACATGTAATATAAAACAATCTATGTGAACTTTTAAAAATACACAAAAAATAATACCACATAGTATTCACAGTCAAGTACATATGCAAAGTATAGAAAGATGATTCCAAGGAAAGTTGCCTTAGGAAAAGAGAGTGGGTCTGGGGTTAAACACACACACACACACTTAAACTCTTTATACCATTTATGTTATTAAACTATTAAACTATTTTATTATATGAGAAATGACTTGCAACAAAAAGATAAAAATATGAAACTATAATTCCTGAATGTAATTATATAAAGTTATTATATTATACTTTTTTGACTTTTAAAAATTTATGAAGAAAAGAAAGAGAAAGAGAGCAAGAAAGGATGGGAGGGAGAGAGGAAAGAGACAGAGACTGCAACAACCACACAAAGGAAATAACTGCAGGAAAGCCAGACCCCAGGGCTTCTCAGAGACTCAGTGGACAAACACACCTGAGCTCAAGTTCTTGGTTCCCTGGACCACCCAAACAGCAAACAGCTAACAGCTTTCTTTTCCTGCCCCACAGCCTCCGGGCAGAAACAGAAGACCAAGGTGCATGCTGCGGTGCCCTCTCCTGGTGACTTCCACCTGCCTCCAGGAGGATCTCCATAGCCCCGGGCCTCTCCTGCTCTCTGCCTCAGGGTGACTGATCTCAAAGGCACAGGGTTAGGAAGGAGCAAGGAAGAGCCAGGTCAGGACCACCCAAAGGCAAGCTGCAGGCTCTCCCCCAGAAAACCACTCTCCACTGCCCCTGTTAAAGTGTAGTGACTGTGGGCTCTTCATTGAGTTAAGCTCTGCTTAATAAAACACATCTCCAAAAAGGGTGCCATTCCCCCAAGGGAACAGTGGGAAGGCCAAGAATTGTGGCACACACCCCAACCAGAAGCTTTCTCTCCATGTCAACCTCAAACTCCTCCAACCTAGGCCCATTGCTCTAGAAAGCTTAGGTCCAGGGGCTTCCAGGCACAGCCCCTCCACCCCCAGAGCCCATGTCCCCTCACTTGCCTTACAGGAATCTTGCATAAGGTCCATGGAGCTTTGGGCTTCTCAGAAAATTGAGCTTCCCTCCACTCCCACACCTGCAGATGTCACCTTCATGCTCTGTTAGGCAAGTCAGTGGCCCTTACATAGTGACCAAGAGATGTGGTGGATTCAGATTTTTGTTGTTTTTGTTAAATTTGGTACTCCTTAAGAATTTCTCTCACTTCCTCAGCCTTCCAGGGTCTCTGGCCCTCACTCTTTATTAGTAAGCTGCCAGGAGTCACTGGTGGCCTTCAATCATCCTGTTCTGCCCAGAATGTGCCTTCCTCCCTTATCAAGTCCATATACAGGACTCTTGCTAGGACCTCATATTATGAGGGCTGTTTTTGTTGTTGTTTTTTGCACATTTACTACATCTCAAGGCCATTAACTACTGCCCTAAAGATTGGATCTCATATGCTAGGGTCTTCTCAATGTACACATCTAAATCTATCCC